AAGAAGAATCTTTTTACCAGCAAATTGGACTTAAATTTGAGGAAGAAACTAGTGAAATGCTACATTTGGAGCATAGCTCTGTATGGGGCTGAAACATGGACACTTAGGGCAGTAGATCAAAACATCTGGAAAGTTTTGAAATGTGGTGTTGGAGAAGGATGGAGAAGATCAGTTGGACCGATTATGTGAGAAATGAAGAAGTGTTAATTAGAGTCAGTGAGCAGAGGAATATCCTACACGAAATAAGAAAACGGAAGGCTAATTGGATTGGTCATGTTTTACGCAGAAAATGCCTTCTAAAAGAAGTTATCGAATGAAAGATAGATGGGCAGATAGAAGTGACAAGAAGACGAGGAAGAAGACATAAGAAGATGCTGGATGACCTAGGGGACAGAAGAGGATACTGTCATTTGAAGGAGAAAGCTCTAGATCGCATTAAGTGGAGGAATTGTTTTGGAAGAGACTGTGGACCTGTCGTCTTGACAGATTACTGATGATGATGATGATGATGATGATGATTAATGTGATTTTGACCCACTGTTTATATTCCACACAGAGAGTTTGGTGTATTTTGTGGCGACTGTGTGGTATAAGGAATGCCGTCTTCTGGGATGTGGCACCATATAGATCTTGTGTGAACTGATGTTTCTGAGGAATGTATCACCTCCATCTTCAGGGTTTAGCAGGTTCCTCAGTCGCAGATTTTTCTACCCTGAAGATGGAGGCGATACATTCCTCTGAATTGTTGGTTCACACAAGATCTTCACAGCGCCACATCCCACACGATAGCATTCTTCATAGTCACCACCATGAAAAACCTCAAATCTTGCATAACTGTGTGGTATAACTTCAAAGGCATGTCACATAACTTGTAGGAGTTTATTCTTAATTAATGTTTGTTTTTTTACAATCCTGTAGAATCAGCTTTAAACACAATTTCTCTGGAACAGATGATGGTACACAGAAAAAGTAAGGATTTTGAATACATGTTGCAGAATTTATTGAGGTTGGCAAGCCTGCCCGTGCTCTGGATACACTGTACGAAGTGTTTCGCAACAAGAAATGGGCCTACAGCTGGAGCGAGAGTGTGCTGGAACCAATCATGTTCAAGTACCTGGACCTGTGTGTGGAGCTGAAGAAGTCACACATAGCCAAGGAGGGGCTGTTCCAGTACCGCAACATGTTCCAGTCGGTGAGTTGTACAGGTTTGCATCTCAGCGTATAGTTCAGAACATGTGTTCCCATCAAGCTATTTGTCTATTTGTCCAGCCCACACCTAAGTGAAGGGTTCTTTCTGGTGAGATATAACCCCATGTAGTCCAAAGAAAGTCGGCCGACTTCTACGGTAAGTGTTGTAAGCAGTGTTGAGAAGAAGCACAAGGAGAACTTGAATGTCAGTCTGTCATGTCATTGTCACTGTAGGCATTCAAACCAACTGAACCTGAATTATCTTGTTGCCATGCGGTGCTAGTTGTGTTGCTGTTGCACATGTTATGGATTTTGGAGATGAATTGTTGCAGCAGATGTTAGCCACTTGAATTTGTCTCATTTCTCACCATCATTTTCATCAGTTGATAATTCATCTTCCAAATCTCAGTGAACAAGACCTGTTGTATGTCTCTGCATTGTTTACATGTGCTGGCTAGTGTTGACAGCCAAACTTGCAAGAGCTGTGGGGAGAGCACCTACACAGCTTATGTCATTTACGAATTTGTTTTATATTCACCTTTAAAGTGCATTGTCTTTAATTTCCCAAGTTATTTGAAGGTTTTAGCTTGGAACTGAGACATTCATTTCATTTTCCATTCATACAAGTGTATGTGGAATTGCTTATGAAACAAAATATGTTATATTTTAGCGTCCTGTTGCACTGATTTAAGTTCATGATTTGTTTAATCNCTGGCGTAATAAGATACGACGTAGCGATCGGGAATCCTGAACAGTTTTAATATTTTTACGATTGACATTTGTCAATATATATGATGGACATATATTTTAGTTATTTTAAAGTGAAGACAAGGCATACAATGTACTAGTTTGACGTGAATTGAGTAGCACCTGAAGATGGCATTTTTATGCCGAAACATGTAGTGAGAGTGAGAGAAGAAGATAGATAAGTGTACGCACTGCAAGACGGATTAAACAAATCATGAAACAAAATATATTTGTTCTTTTACAGTGGAACTGCCCTAGTCACTAAACATGACATTGATCCTTTTTTCCTGTTCAGTTTCTATGCATTTAGTGTTCTGCCCTTCACATGCGGTTGATAGTATTATTTTTTTTCTGTAATTATGATGGAACGAAAGAGAGTTACCTATATGTAAATGGCTTGTAGAGTAGACACAGATTTTTTTGGAGAAGTTTAATTGCTAGGGAAGTGAACATCTTATTACGAGTAATTTGGATTAGTAGTGAAGCTTTAGGCAAGGTTCTGTTCTTGGTCCATTACTTTTCACTTTATATGTGAATGATGTACTGCATCTGACACAGCGCAGATCAGTATTTTGAAGCAGTTTATCTATAAATCCAATCAAAACACTATGTTCTGTTCAGACGAAGTAGTGCAGGCAGGAAAGTGAATTACAAATCCTAATAAAGAATAGGGAAATAGTTAATGTAAAAAGTATTAATTTCCTTGGGGTTGGAGCTCGCAGTAACCTGAGCTGTGAAGTACATATTGATGGGCATATCCTTTATCAATGTATTTTGATCTACAGGATAAAATAAAAATGAACGAATGAATGAATGCATTTCAGGGGCTTCAGCTAAAGTTAGAGTATGGTACTAATTTCTACTAATGCAGGGCTTGATTTCTGTGATACGCAGATATTTTGAGGCAGACTTTTTTAACTTTTTGCTGTTGTAGGTGAATGTCTCTTCACTGGAGAACGTGATACGTGGATATTTAAGAACAGCTGAAGAGAGAACAGAGTCTGCACGTGAACAGTCCCAGCAAGCTGTGATTGATATTGATGACCTTGACATGCTGGCCACCCCTGAAAGCATTCTTCTGAGGTGAGTCCCATCTCAGGTCCTGTGGAATATATGCTACAATTTTTAGGCATTCTGTACAAACAGGGTCAGGCAAATAGTTTTGAGACTGATTTGTTTTTTAATTTGTTTTAAGAGCTGCAGGTTGGCAACCTAGAATTTTTCAAAGTAACCTCCCTCCAGTTCTTTACAATGTTCCCAGCGCTTCGGCCATTGTTCAGAACAGTTCTTGAAATCCTGAAGAGGGATGTCCATCAATTTTTTTACAGATAATTTAATGTCCTTAACTTCTCAGAAAGCACACTCTTGAGTTTTGGAAACAGTCAGAGGTCAGCTGGAGCAAAGACAAGAGAGTACGGCAGATGATCCATGGCAGAGATGCCCAAAGCGAAGAATGTGCTGGTGTGTTGTCATGTTGAATAAATGAGCTGTCTCTCCACAAACTCTCCTTGCTTGCACCTCATGACATCAACAAGCCTTTTCAACTCCTCCACATGGAATGTCTGAATAACAGTGGTCCTTTCATGTACAAATTCAAAGTGGATGATACTCCTAATGTTATAAAAGCAGGTCAACATTGTTTTAATCTTGGAGTTCCACAGCCATTGCTTCTTTGACCTGAGGATTCACCAAAACTGTTATTAATGTGTCTAATGTTTCACTTGGTGATTCCTGCAGTTTAACACAAACATTTTCATTGCCTCCCTGATCCATCATATGCTTCATTCTCATGTCTGGACAAAGTTGATGACAGACAGTGAGTGATCTAATGAGCTACTCTTCAACAAATAATGAACACAGTTTATCCAGACTTTCCATATAAGCTGTCTCTTGTTGCCTCACCTGACTTCCCAAGTAACAGCATTGCAAGATGGCCAGTGTGAAATTAAATATGAGTCCAGATGTTTGTTTGCCTGGCCTTGTACGTGATATAAAATGCCTTATTGTAAATTCTGGTTGTCCCCGTATTTCACGCCACAAACCACAGGATCGATCTGAACGACATTGGCATAGGAAGTCAGTACTGGATGTTGTCTGCTGGTTAAGGTACAGAGCAGAGTGCTGACTTCACACCATTTTGTTAGACATGTATGCATAGAGATTATAATTCAGTTGTGTGTTAGGTACATTTGTCTTAGAGATATACTAATCTAATAATATTCACTGGATTGTGGTGTGATATAGTAAAGGTATATGTTATTTGTGATAACTATATGTATTTTTTTTTACAAAGGCTACTGTCACAGTGCATCAGGTTGCTAATTCTGTGTGTTGTGTTTCAGTGCTGTGAGTGGAGAGGATGCTCAGGACCGCAGTGACCGCACTATTCTCACCCCATGGGTCAAGTTCCTCTGGGAATCTTACTGCCAGTGTCTGGAGCTTCTGCGCACCAATGCACACGTTGAGACCCTCTATCATGACATAGCTCGAATGGTGAGTCCAACTCTGACATGACAGCTCATATGATCAAGTCTTACCCTCATTTACATTCCAGTCAGCCTATAACAGTGTAAGTTGATTAAGAATCTGACGCAGAAAGAACCACTGTAAGTATGCCTCATGAGTTTTTGCAGGCTTAAAGTCAAATATCAGAGAAAGAAAAGCAGGAAGATACTGGCCAGACCAAAGGTTCTTTTGTATAGGTATTTTTATTCCCATGACAAAGGGGAATTTCTTGACAAGCCAGGTAATTATTGACTGATGTGCCATGGGACCGTTTTGTATGGTTGCAGGCATTTTCCTTCTGTCTGAAGTACAACCGCAAGACTGAGTTCCGAAAACTGTGTGACAAACTGCGCAAGCATCTGGAGGATATCAGCAAACTTCCTGCGCAGACTGCGAATGTGAGCATCCACAAGCCTGAGACACAGCAACTCAATCTTGATACACGACTTGTGCAGCTGGACTCTGCCATTCAGATGGAGCTATGGCAGGTACTTGGGCAGTTCACCAGCCAACTTCTTTGTGCTCTGTTTAATTCCTTTGTACCAGATTCAACAAATTGTAATGTGTTTTGCCACTGAAGACGCCGTTTGGATTGTGAAAGCCTGAAGTCATCCTGTAGCTGGTTGTTTCTTGTTGCAGGAGGCGTACAAAGCCATCGAGGACATTCATGGGCTGATGAACCTTTCGAAGAAGCTTCCAGTTCCGAAGACCATGGCAAACTACTACCAGAAGCTAGCCATGGTGTTCTGGAAAGCTGGAAACTACCTGTTCCACGCTGCTGCTCTCTTCAAGTTGTTTCAGCTCTCAAAGGAGATGAAGAAGAACATCACGCCTGAGGAGCTGCAGAGGTGAGCACTATGAAATGCCCTACATCAGAAGTACAACGCAGAATGCTCATGCAGCAGAAATTGACAGCTGCACTTTCAGAAAAGTTCTATGTTTAGAAAAGAGTGAATGTGTTTGTAAAAGGTACTGATATCTTCAAAAAGCAGAGATGGAAGTCAGTCAAGTATTTTAAGTTCTCTCAGCTGACACCTAATGACATGTTCCGATGCTGTATGTGTATGTGCAGGATGGCCTGTCGGGTGCTGCTGGCCACTCTGTCCATCCCACTTCCATCTGCTCACCCGGAATTTGACCGATTCATTGAGACAGATAAGAGTCCCTTGGAGAAGGCTCAGCGCTTGGCCATTCTGCTTGGACTGTCACAGCCTCCGACCAGAGCATCTCTTCTGAAAGACATTGTGAGTCTTAAAACTTAATGTTTTGAATTGTAACTCTTTGGGTGGATGAGTAGGTCTGGATAACTTATGTTTGTCAGTGAAGTGATATGCATTTTGCCATGAAATTGTAACCTATGTTTAAGATCAGTTCTATGGACACAGACCTTCAGATTGTTGTATATCTGTAAAGATACGAGTGTAGGGTTATTCACTCATTCTAGTTATTGCTAATGCTGACAGTGTTGGCTGTATAGTGCTACTTGAATGTGAATTTAAAAGACATCTCTTGGTTCTTTTAGATGATAAAGTAAAATTAACAGTTGTGTTTTCATTGGTAAATAAGGCATTCAGTTTTTAACATTGTCCTACACTAACTCACTCATAAGCTTAAGGCTCTGTCTTCTGCAAATTATCATCAGCTGTCCTGGCTGTTTCTTGTGGTTCTTTCAAGAGAATGCTATGATTTTATGTTCCCCTTCTATGTTTATGATGATGTTTCTTCTTGTCTGAAATAAGGTGCACATCTCACTGATTACTTGGTGAAACAGCCATGATGCTATAGCCGTTCCATTTATGTATCAGTATAATCCTGAGTTATGTGTTATCACCTCTGAACTTGCTGCAGGTGCGAGTGAATGTGGTTTCGTTAGCATCGCCTCGTCTGCAGGAGCTGTATGGATGGCTGGAGGTGGACTTCCACCCACTACAGCTATGTTCACGTGTGCACACCGTCGTCGAAGAACTGTGTGCAGATGAGGGCTCGCCCCTTCAACAGTATGTGCCTGCACTTCAGGATGTCACACTTGTACGGCTCATCAGACAGGTCTCTCAGGTCTACCAGACAATTGAGATTACACGCCTGCTGGAACTTGCACGCTTTGCATCTGCATTCCATCTGGAACGCCTGCTGGTTGACTGTGTGCGCCACAATGATATGCAGGTCAGAGAAAGTGTTGTTTTGGATAGGTGTCACAAACAGGATGAGTTTGTTTGTTCAGGTATATATAAGAAGTGTAATTTTCTTGTCTGCGTCCTGTTTCCTGCTGCCAGTCAAATAGAACACATTGAAAGATGTCACACAATTTACTGTCTGTCGTTACCAGTATGCAATAGCCATGGCTCTTAAAGCAGTGTGTGCATATTGCAGTTCAGGTTCTCGGTCCAGTTTCAGTCTTCCCTTCTTTTAACATTTTTATTGTGGGAGTAGACTTTAATGTCTTAATTTGCATGTTATTTAAAATACTAGCTGTGCCCGGCCACGCCTTGCTGTGGGTCAGTCTGCCCGTTCTCCCTCAGTTTGATTTGAAATTACTCGACGCATTGCTTTTGCTCTGCGACTACGACGACCTAAGCTTGTTCTTAGGAAACGAAAAGAAAAACAACAAAAAATAAACTATACTTACGAAATAACTTCCACACACGTCTCGGATTCAGCGATTAAGTTATTGAACGCTCACTTTTACACCAGCGAGCACAATTATTATCACGTCCAGTATCACCGAAAATTTCTTCAGAGCTGGACTGTTATAACCCGGTTTCAGAAGCAATAGAGGGCACTTTCACCGAGGGTTCCGCTTCACGTGTTCTGTGCTCGTTGCCGCATAAATGCATTATTTCCACTGTTTCAACAGTTTGTTGCAATGGTTATTCCAAGGCAACGATGTGCTGTTTCAACAGTTCGTTGCCACAGTTATTCCAAGGCAACAACCCGCTATTTCAACAGTTCGTTGCCATGGTTATTCCTAGGCAATGACCCGCTGTTTCAACAGTTCGTTGCCACGGTTATTCCTAGGCAACAATCTGTTGGTATTCGACGTATAACACGTTACAGTATATTAATATTGAACACAATTAATACTTTTACCTGTTTTTACCTGTCACGGGTGTGACATCTACATAATAGGCACATAAAAACGCGCATGTTCGAATGCAACGTTGTATCAAAATTTCGAAGCAATCGGTGAAGAACTTTCGGAGATCTTCGAGGAGAGCCAAACCAACAGTTACATTTTTATTTATGTAGATTAGCTAGTATGTATTGTAATAGTGAAAAGGAAAGTGAACAAATCCTATGTGAAGAACAGACACTACAAATCCAATACACCTGTTTGAAATTTCTTCGGTCCCATTTGCAAAATTTATGGATACATTTTGTTGGTAATGCATTATTTAGTTGCGGAATGGAGAAAGTTAATAACTGCCTACTGCTCTCTGCTCGAGGTTGAAAGAAAGAGCACATATGTGACATTAGGAAGAGCTTCCCACATTGTATTTGGAAGATCTCAACTCAAGTATCAGCCCAGTACACAGCTACCCTGATGGTTTTGTAGTTTCAGTCCCATTAGGCTAAAGCTGAGACATTTGAAAGGAACTGCAAAATAATGTCAAATTAGTAAGGGGAAACTGGCTGATTACAGATCCGTATTGACCATGGGGCCAGGTGCATCCATTTTGGCATGGATCTGTCAGAGTCACAACGGGAGGACAGGCCAGAGGGCCCAACCCTACAGAGCATGCCCAGTGAGCAGGTCCGCAACCAGCTGGTCAATATGGCCACTGTGCTGCATCGTGCCATGGCCACGATCAATCCACACAAGAAGAAGGTGAGATGGTCTTTGTTGCTGTTGTCTTTAACTTAATTTAACAGGCCAAGTTGATATTTGGACTTCCCCTACAGTAAGGCAGTTTGAGCTAGCTGGCCTTTGTTTCTATCTGGAATTTGCTGTGATGACTCTTTCTGTATGAGTTATATATATGATCACTCAGTTTTGATCATATCATTTTAAGTACCCAAATTATTAAGCTATTCATTAAATAATTTTATCTTTGCTTTAATTCCTTCTTGTAAGGCCCAAATATTGTCCTTGGCATATTGTTCTCAAACATCCTCAAGGGATCTAGTTTCACATCCATACAGAACAGCAAGTTGAATAATAGTTGTCCACATTTATGAATTTTGTTCTGGAGGTAATTGTAAAGAACATCCGATTATTATGGAGATAATCAAACTCATAAGTATTGTACTGAAAAAGTTAAATAGTTCCATCCAGTGTGACTGGTTAAGATTTTCTTATTTCAATTAGTCACGCCCTTACATGTTTCGGTCTTCAGAGACCATCTTCAGAGGAAGAATCTTTTTACTAGCAAATTGGACTTAAATTTGAGAAAGAAACTAGTGAAATGCTACATTTGGAGCATGGCTTTGTATGGGGCTGAAACTTGGACACTTAGAGCAGTAGATCAGAAACACCTGGAAAGCTTCAAAATGTGGTGTTGGAGAAGGATGGAGGAGATTAGTTGGACCAATTATGTGAGAAATGAAGAAGTGTTATTTAGAGTCAGTGAGCAGAGGAATATCCTACACGAAATAAGAAAATGGAAGGTTAAGTGGATTGGTCATATCTTACGCAGTAACTGTCTTCTAAAAGAAGTTATTGAAGGAAAGATAGAGGGCCGATAGAAGTGACCAGAAGATGTAAGTAGATCCTGGATGACCTTGGGGATAGAGGAGGATATTCTCATTTGAAGGAGAACGCTCTAGATCGCATTAAGTGGAGGAACTGTTTTGGAAGAGACTGTGGACCTGTCGTCTGACAGAATACTGATGAATGAATGAATGAATGAATGTGTAAAATCTAAAGTCTTTACAACTACAGCGGCTGTTCCAATGTGTTTTGCAACTGAAGACGCCATTCAGATTGTTAATTGGTTTATTTAACAACCTACAAATTGTAACTACAATTAATTATGACACTCTTATGGGTTTACACACTTTACAGACCCTGCTCACAAATCTCTTCACACTATCTTCAGTATAACACACGTTCCATTCTTCTTCCCGTGACTGCTGCTATATTTCAACTGACTTATGATGTCTTTTTCACGTTCACAATTCACTCGCTACAACTGAACCCAGTGACTGATAGACTTCAACTGTCTTCGGCAGCTGCTACATGTTAACTCTCTCTTTACGCATTTCGGTCTCCCTTATGAACCCTCATTCGGACGATGGAAAACCCACATCTCTTCACTGTTGCGTAAACGCCATGTTCACAGGTGTTGCTGTGCAATGCTGCTGAGAATATGTTTTGTAAAAACTTTGTTATTTCATCCTACCTTTAATGTTGTCCTGTATGTGTTTGTGGCTTGCTGTGTTGATTTTACTGTTCTAGATTGTGCTGTACTGCGTATTTATACTCCATGTGTCTGTGACGTTAGTGTGGGTGTGTACTGATGTATTATGATGTCGAACATATACAAAGGAAAGTGACAACCAGTATAATATATTAATGTATTGGAACAGCCGCTGTAGTTGTAAAGACTTTAGATTTTACAGCCAATTGTATATTATTTATATTGTATGTATACATAGGGCAGTCAAAAAGTTCCCGGAATTCCCCTGCAGACGGAGAACGAGTGATAAGATACTGCACACACTGTTGTGGTGGGAAGCTCAGCATGTCTGCTCGCAGGCACAACAGGTCTGGACAGGTTTCAGTTTGCAGTGTCGTTACTGTTCCGTTTGAATTAGACATGAGTGTTGGTCATTCGGCGTAATGTTGCAGTTCGAACAGTATGCGAACATCAAGTTCATGTGCAAATTGGGAAAATCTGCTTCAGAGTCGCTATCGGCCTTGCGGCAAGTTTATGGTGATACTGCACTAGAAATCTGCAGTTTACGACTGGTTTTCCCGGTTTAAGAATGGGCAGGACACGGAGGATGACCAGCGCAGCGGGAGACCTTCGACATCCGGAACCAAAGAAATGATTGGAAAAGTGAGACAACTGATGCGATGTGATCAAAGAATGACCATTGCAGAGTTGGAGCAAGGAGTTGGTACTGTTACTGGCCATTTCTACATGCAAATTTGTGGAGGTTACATGATGCAGTTGAGAGGAAGTGGCATGACAAGTGGCAGGGACAGTGGTTTCTGTATCGGGGCAACACACTGAACCACGCATCACTTATTGTGCAGCAGTTCCTTGCCAAGAAAAACATTTCTGTCATCACCTAACCACTGTACTTTCTGGGTCTTCCTCCAAGAGACTTTTGGCTGTTCCCTATCTGAAAATGGGCCTCAAGGGGACACGTTTCGCAACCATGGGGGACATCAAATCGAATGCAACAGCTGAGCTCTGGAAGATTCCAAAAGAAGCCTTCCACCGCTGCTTCTAACAATGGCAGGATCGATGGAATAAGTGTGTGCGCGCGCAAGGGTCCTACCATCAGAGTGCTATACCACCATTCTGGGAACTTTTTGACTGACCCTTGTACGAGGCTCGTCCACAAAGTAAGTTTCCCTGGGGCTGTTTGCAGAAATAAAACACAATTTCATGGAAATATTTATTGCAACAGATACAGCAAGTGTTCAGCTATTTTTCAACATAATCGGCACCAGAATTGAGACATTTGTCATACCGTGGGACCAACTTTTGAATACCTGTGTCATAGAAGTCTGCCGCCTGGGATTGGAACCACTGTGTGACAACCATCTCCGCCTCTGTCATTCTCAAAACGCTGACGCTCCCCGGACAGGAATTTCTTGAGGTGTATGAAAAGATGGAAATCACTGGAAGCGAGGTCCGGGCTGTAGGGTGGATGATTAAACACCTCCCAGCTGAACTCCTGCAGGAGACTTGCTGTCCGTTGAGCTGTGTGCGGCCTAGTGTTATCGTGCAGGAAGACAATACCGGCACTAAGCATCCCGTGCCGCTTGTTCTGAATGGTCCGTCACAATTTCTGCAGTGTTTCACAGTAACGCTCAGCATTCACCGTCTCACCTCTGGTCAGGAAGTCAACGTGGAGATCACCCCGTCTGTCCCAGAATACCGTGCACATCACTTTCCGTGCCGACGTCTGCTTGAATTTCGTCTTACAGGGAGATCCACTGTGACACCACTGCATTGACTGCTGCTTGGTTTCTGGGGTAATCTGTGCAATCCACGTTTCATCACCTGTGATGATCCATTTCAGAAACTCGTCGCCGTCGTCATGGTACCGCTGCAGAAATGTCAATGCTGACTCCATGCGCTTTGTTTTGTGTTCTGGTGTTAGTTGCTTCAACACCCACCTGGCGCACAATTTCCTCAACAACAGGTGCTCCGTGACAATTTCGTGCAACAAGGAGCGGGAAATCTGCAGGACATGACTGCTGAGTTCCGTAATTGTGACGCGACGATTCTCCATAATGCATTCCCGCACAAGCTCCACCAGGTCGTCTGTAACGATGGATGGCCGCCCACTGCGCTTCTCATCATGCACACTTTGTCGACCTGCTGAAAATTGTCTACACCAGTGATGCACCATCTGCTTGCTCATGACGTTAGGCCCATAGACCCAGCACAGTTGACGATGAATTTCGATCGGTGCTATGCTCTGTGCATTCAAAAACTTTATCACTGACTGCACTTCACAGTCGGCGGGAGCTGGAATAAGAGCCTCCATCTTCAACAGCTGCAACGATGCTACTGTGGGAACGTGGGAAATTCCGTTAGTGCATGCGCCATGCTACGTCATTGCTTTGTCACGTACGCGCAGCCACTTCACGCAATATAGGGTGTGCTAGCTGTGGGACGAGTGGGAAACTTACTTTGTGGACGTGCTATGTATATTTTAACTTTTAGAACTGAAACGTGAAGAGGTCTTGAAGACCGAAATTTGGTTTTTGGGTAGGACGTTCCAACTCAAAGACATTATAACAAATATACCAAATGATAATNTGGAATAAGAGCCTCCATCTTCAACAGCTGCAACGATGCTACTGTGGGAACGTGGGAAATTCCGTTAGTGCATGCGCCATGCTACGTCATTGCTTTGTCACGTACGCGCAGCCACTTCACGCAATATAGGGTGTGCTAGCTGTGGGACGAGTGGGAAACTTACTTTGTGGACGTGCTATGTATATTTTAACTTTTAGAACTGAAACGTGAAGAGGTCTTGAAGACCGAAATTTGGTTTTTGGGTAGGACGTTCCAACTCAAAGACATTATAACAAATATACCAAATGATAATATATATACGAAGTGTGTTCAGGAAATAACGGGAATTTTAAAATTTCGCGGGTTTGGAGAGTCCAATTGTCAAAATTTTTTTTTATTATGTTGGTATACATGCCCCTGAAGTACAATAAAATTTTCAGCTGTATTCATTGCTTACTTTGTCTGTGGCAGCCGCTAAGGTTAGACGTGTTTTTATGAGCTTGGCGATTTTCGTTTGTTAAAAGAAATGGATCAAAGAATTTGTATCAAATTTTGCGTAAAAAATGAAATAAAGTGTTACAAAGTGTGTGAAATGTTAACAAAGGCCTATGGTGAGTCTGTTATGAGTAAAACAAGAGTTTACGAGTGGTATAAGCGTTTCCAAGATGGCCGTGAAGACGTTGCAGATGACGAGCGCCCCGGACGCCCCAGCACATCAACAACCGATGAAAACGTGGAAAAAGTGAAAGCAATGATTATGAATGATCGCCGAATCACAATCAGAGAAGTTTGCGTGAGGCAATCCGAAAAAAACGCCCGGATTTGTGGAAAAACAATTCATGGCTTTTGCACCACGATAATGCACCTGCTCACACTTCGTTGCTTGTTCGTGAATTCTTGGCCAAAAACAATACTGTAACGATGCCCCAGCCTCCATATTCGCCAGACATGGCTCCGTGTGACTTTTTCCTATTTCCAAAAATAAAGAGAACCTTAAAGGGCCGTCGTTTTACAAGCATAGATGACATTAAAAGCGCATCGCTGAAAGAGCTAAAGGCTATCCCAAAAATCGAGTTTGAGAAGTGTTTCGATGATTGGAAGAAGCGCTGGCGTAAGTGCATAATATCGAATGGGGACTATTTTGAAGGCGACAACATTAATGTAGACGAATGAATAAATATTTTTTCCAAAATACGGAAATTCCCGTCATTTTTTGAACACACCACGTATATACTAAATGCAAATACAGTGTAAGTCCCTGGAGGTAATAGGCCTCTGACAATCAACCAATCACAATTGTACAGACCAGGAGAAGAGTGAGTCTACTGAACAGTTCAAGCTTCCACAACAGAATGGAACACTCGCTGTGGACCTCAGCCGACGGGAACCATGAAGTAGAACGTTGGAAGGGGGACGCCCTCTGACGTAACGCAGATACAGCGTTACAGAACATTAATGTAATGGTGGCTTCTAACAGTATTGATGTAAAGGTGTCCCTCTGAAGATGGTCTCTGAAGACCGAAACATGTAAGGGCATGAATAATTGAAATAAGAAAATCTTAACCAGTCACACTGGACTAAACTTTTTAACTTTTTCATAATTGTGTGACGGACCAGAATGAAATAAATAAAAAAGTATTGTACTAGTTAGTATTCCTCATGGTAATGTGTTTCTGTGCACAGCTCGAGCGGGAGAAGTTACGTGCACAAATGGTAATGCATTACCAGGAGACCAAGTCTCAGGAGCATCAGTGCATTTTGGCACGTCACAAGATCATCGAGGACCGGAAGGAGTACCTGGAGAGGTTGAATACTGTGCGGGTGAGTACAGTCTGCGCTGCCCCACTATAACTGTGCCTAATGCCTCTTCCATCTCAAGTGCTGACTGCATTTTATATTAGTAAATAGGCACAGATATCTCTTCTATAATATTAGTAGTGGATTCATGACTGTTAAATTACTCCTCACTTAACTGAAGTATATTGTTTTAAGAGTGTGGCTGCCACATTTTCAGAAATATCGTGTAAGTAATTTTGGAAACAATCTTTATCAAATTTTACAAATTTCTTCTAAGAATTTCTCAGTCCAGCCAACATTAAACAAATAATGCTTCTGCTTGTCACCAACAGGAAGAGGAGGAAGCCCGGAGACAGGAGGAGCAGGCTCGTCAACAGATGTTGCAAGAACAGAAGCGCCTGGAGCTGGAACGGGAAGAACGGGAACGCAAGCGTCAGGAGAATGAGATCCAGCAAATAAAGGATCGACACCTCAAGGAGAAGATGCAGCAGATTTCTCAGACATCACATGGGCAGAAGATTCTGAAAAAGTTGAATGAGGATGTGAGTCGCAATATATTTATTGTCAGTAAAAGGTGATGGTCAAGTTGACCCTGTGCTCGACAAATTAAGCACTACGCCATGAAGGCATATGGGGGAGGGGATGTATTGTTAGTCAATTTCATAATTATGGTGATCGTGATCTGCCCATGAAACATGTACAAAATGAAGTTGCAGCTTCTATATTGTTTATTTGTTCTGTATAATTAATATTGAAGTCAGTATGTGTTAACTGCTTGCAATATAATATTGTCAGTTATGTGTTTAATGTTCTGTCAGCAGCCTTGCTTGATCTGAAGAGCTGACTCTTTATGTTACACTCAGTTGTGTGCTGAATGTGTTGAGAGCTGTGCGTAGAATCATTTCACTTCTCGCCTATTATTAGTAACTGTGAATCATGTACATTCTTACTGGAGTAGCATGCCAGTGCCATTTCCATGTTTTACTCTCTTGTTTTCATGCTTTCTGTAGTGCACAGGGTATCTCACTCACAACATGGAGTAGTTTGTTTCAGGCCTTATTACAGTTGTCTGTGGGCCAACACATTGACCTAGCCAAAGGCTGACTCACATGAAATTTCATCCAGTCACATGAAGTAATTGCGGCTACCATCCATGCTTGAAAAATGTGCTCACTAGAACCAGTTTGCATGGCTGACATTACAGTAGGCATCCTCCAGCATCCACGCACATTTCACACTGAGTAACAAATAATGTGACACATTGAAGTTCACAAGCTGTGACTTTAGAAGGGCATTCCAGATTCTGATGTGTAAAACCTCAGTAGTATATGGATTAAGATCTGCTGGACATGAGAGCATCATTTTTTTAACTGATTATTTGTTCATCAAAAAGCAGTCTGCAGAACCTATATTGAATTGTTGTCCCCAGACCATTCTCATTTTACTGTACATAATGAAAATAGGCCCGGCGTTCACAGCAAACCATACACCAGTTTTCTGCTCATGTGATGGGGTTCTGTGAACCCAGGCTTCTTCTGACATAAGACAAGTTAAGGTGAACTACACCATCATAAGTATTTCTAGAACTTGACTTTCACTGTTAATTCTGTGACACTTGAAACTGGATCTTCAGGTTGGAGACAGCGTGCCACTTATATTCTAAACAGACTGTCAGCATTTTCATGGCTGTCAGAAGCTTAGACACCCGTATCTTGGGACAGTTGATGAAATGACTTTCTTGGGCCCAGTTCAAATTTTCAACAGTTTTTGGCATCTACATGCGTGTTTCCACTCAGCAACATTTCAGATTCCTGACACCTCAAAACATGCAGGTTGTGAGGTAAAAGTTAATCCCAGTGCTGTTAGTGAAATTTATGAACATTTTTGTTACAGGATTTCTTTACTGTAAATGTAACACCCATTGTTCAGTCCTGTGGGTGGAAAGACACAGACACAAGAAAAAACAATCCATAAGTTAAGGAAATCCACTGCACAGTGCTCATGTCAGTGGCATGGTCCACTGTATGGCGACTGTCAACTGTTCCTGTGACAGCTCAGACAAAATTATGCGAATCATTCATTAATTACATCCATGTCTTTTGTTTACAACATTTTTCGTTTACATTGTACTGATGTGGTGATCACATACTAGGCCTTCATGTAAGGTGGTAGCCTTGAGAGAGCAAAATGGCATGCAGATATCTTCCCATATTTCCTTTCTCATGTGTATGTACTCCGAATTAGAATTATATTTTTTTTTGTCATGTAGGATATCAAGGATCCTGAACAAATAGCTGCTCGGGAAGCAGAGGAGTTGCAGAAAGAACGGCGCGAGTTGTTACAGAAACTAAAGTCACAGGAGAAAAAGGTGGATTATTTTGAACGGGCGAAGCGCCTGGAGGAAATACCACTTTTGGAACAGGCATTTGAGGAAAAACAGGTATGACTAGAAAGAAAAAATGTGCACAATAGATGTGAAACAGGTGAGTGATTAGCGGTAATCTTGCAGTAACAGATTTGTTCTTGTTAGATCCAGGACCGCAAATTTTGGGAACAGCTTGAAGCTGAACGCATCCAGGAGGCAGTGGCTGAGCGAGAAGTGGCCGTCCAGCATCGTGAGCGCTTGGCCCGTATGAAGGCAGACAAGGATGTGTTTCTGGAGAAGCTGAAGGCAGAGCGCAAGACACTGTATCTGGTGAGTCACTTCCTTCCGTACCCTGAATGCTTCTTAAAGTCCTGTTGCCACATTTATGCCATAAGATGTACACTGATGTGGGTCTGTGCAGGATAAGCTGAAGGATTTTGAGAAGGTGCTGGAGGAGGAGCGCAGGAAGCGTCTGGCAGAGAGGAAAGTGCATCGCAAGGAGGAGAGGAGAGCCAAGTGGCTGAAGGAACGAGAGGAGGAAGAAGAGAGGAAGCGGGAAGAGGAAAAGAGGTTACAGGAAGAGGAGGCTCGGAGGAAACAGGAAGAGGAGGAGCAGAAAAAGAAAATTCGCAAAGAGATGGAGGCTGAGGAGTACAGGTATGTAGCATAGAGTCACTCTTAAGCTAGCACAGATGCTTTTATTTGACACTCAAGTTAGTGGTTGTCTTTTCATTTGTCAACAATTTATAGACAGACTTATTCCTCACTTGACTCCGCAGGCAATGTATTCTTTCTTTCTAGAGATCAAGATTTTAAGGAGAAAAAAATATATATGTTTATTAATAAAAAATACTATAAATCAACATTATATCCTCTTTCAGATGCTTTGTACTTGAATATGTTAGTAGGAATGCTTTGAAAGATACATATGTTTTCTCTGTAGTTACCATCCCAAGTTAAAATCTGCCTTCGAGCCTCAGGACTGAATCCGAAATTCCTGTATGATGAAGATAAATAATGTGCGCCAAGTCAAATGCAGACATGAAGCACATGAGTGCATGTTCAGGAGACAGTATGTGGCTATGTGGATCTGTGATGAGTGATGCTGCGGATATCTGACCCTGTGATGATTACACCCATGCTGAGATCCACAAGAAGCTCAGCATAGCTTTTAATTGCTAAGTGCTGACTAAGTTCATGCTGTAATTCTGTTACCCTGTTTATCACAGAAATGTCACCAAAGTCAGGGGACAGAGACCTAATGTATTGTTGGGCACAGACAGTTTTGAATGTGCTTTGGTTTGTAATGCTGTGCAGGAAGCAGAAAGAAGTGCTGGATCGTCAGGCAGAGCAGGCTCGTAAGCGCGAACGGGAGGCAGAGGAGAAGAGAATGGAGGAGAAGAGGTTAGAGCAAGAACGAGTAGCAGCCAGCAGCAGCTGGCGGCGCAACCCCATGGGGGCAGTGCCACTTCCTCCCTCACAGCTTCGATCTGAACGTGATGTGGACCGTGATGTGATGGATGGTCCGCGCAGGGATCGAGATGGAGACTGGCGCAGTAAGAATTCGGCACCATCATCAGCCCCTGCCGTGGCGCGGGATGAAGCACCTCCACGCTCCAAAGCAGAGGTTTGGAGACCTAATGGTAAGAGATTTGAATGTCTGTCATTCCAAAAGAATAGGTTATGTTTAATGTAGTATTTAAGAATGGGATTTTTGTTGAAGTTCAGATAGCACATAATCCATCAGCGCTTTTGTAGGTAACACGCAGCTTACACACCAAGTTTCTGCATGAATATGGATATACAGGTTACATGATATTCATTGCTTGTTGCAGTTCGTTTGCGTGAGTCTGACAGCAAGTCGACAGATGCCTGGAGAAGGGGCCCTGATGCTGACCATGACTCCAAGGACAGGAGCACTTTTGAGAGGGACCGTGACATGAGAGACTTCAGAGACAGTAGGGACATACGAGATACAAGGGATAACAGGGATGTGCGAGATGGCAAAGAAATGCGAGACTCCAGGGACCGGGGAGGTTATGACAGAGATGGCAAGGATCGAGGCTATGACAGGGACAGAGGTTTTGACCGCTTTGAAAAGGACAGGGACAGAGGCGGCCACGACAGAGACCGGGGATTTGACCGTGAGCGAGATAGAGGTTCTGGCAATGTGAGTACCAAGCACTTCTTGTTCTATGCATGTTATGTGCCACATTATCTCTGCCATAGTGGTGCACTGCTTCCATCACAATCATGTTTCATCCTACTATGAAACTGCTTTCATTATAAGATGAACCTCGTTCACAATGAATAATTTAGAATTATTTTATTCATTGCCCTTTCAAAACTCAGAGACAGTATTCCCCAGCACAGACATAATTTTTGCCAGTCTCTGTGTAATGGTCCATTTTAAGTGTTCTGTTGTATTTTTCACCAAGTAATTGTGCTTCATCTACATGCTGGATGGAGTTGCCTGTCCCGGGTATCTGTCTGTCAGTAGTTTCTATATATGTCATTTGTCAAGTTTGGCAGATACAATTGTCATAAACTAGAACTCTTAATGTTCTGTGTGAGCAGTTATTGTGACTTAACATCATGGCTGCCAACCTCAATTATGAAATTGAGAGTAATTTTTTTTTCGCTTAGTGGGGGTTGGAGTCCATCTTGGTCCACTCGGCATGGCAGCCACTGATTGGCCTATTGTACCTGCCCCAGGTGATTATGATGATGGAGAATCTGGTGGAATGAAGATTGGCAAGGGAAACCGAAGTACTCGGACAAACAATATTATATTTAAGCATCCTGTTACGCTCACACAATATATATGAGACAAATTCCGTCTTAAGTGCAACAATTTAATTGTAGTTCTTTCTTCTTCCCTTCCTCTACACTACATGTTTCGGCCCCAACTGACCATCATCAGGTGTGTATTCTTACGTAGGTGCTACACTGCCCATAGTTTAAAATTTAAAATCGCCAGTCTTTCCAATTGTATGTATGTATAAAATCTTTGTTAACCTACACACGTCAATTTGATTTCTAAAATTGGCATTTTTTTAAAACTTCAATTCAAATTAAAATGTCTATAATTTTCTGTTCTTTTTCTTTTTCCAAATTTTTAAAAATTAAAATTCTCTCGGGGTACACGCCCTATGTCTTTAGTGCTGCAGCAGCCACTTCTTGCTTTATCGCTGTTCAGGTATTGTTCTGTGTAGGTTCTCTGTGTGTGTGTGTGTCGCTGCTTATCTTTGATACTCGGAGAAAACCTGCCCCAGCGCCATTTTGTCCACCATAAATCCCACTTGACCAGACCCAGGATCGGCTGCCGCCATGGAAAGCCAGCGACTAACTGGTTGAGCTATGGCATGGCCAAATTGATAGTAAAAGCCATAGGAATGGCAGTGTTTGTAGATGTATGAAGTGTGACAGATCATATATGAAAGACAAATGTACTTCCGTATTGAGATTGTTGTCTTCTGGGTGTAGTCCAGTAGATTAATCACCTGTCAGACTACAGTACAAAGTATCATAACCCAGAAGACCACAACTGGAATTCACCCCCATGTAAGCCTCAAATTCTATGTACTTATTGCTAGTTGAGGTGCACCAAAAATATTCTGTCAGTGGCAGCCCAGTCCTCTGTTTTTGTAAACTGCTGAAGGTTTGTTGTTTGTACAAAATTCTGCATTTGCTAATGTTGTATGAATGTTATTGCAGGCTGGAAGCAGCTGGAGGAACAAACTCCCCGAGCCGGAGCCAGATGATGATCGTCGGGGCATGAGGTTAGCCATTTGAGAGTAACCCTTAATCACAGTTCACACTTGGCTTTCAAAAAGAAATGTGTTTTGTATAGTCTGTTTCTCTGTACTGCAGAAATGGACTTAGAATCTGGAATGTAAAGTGTACAAACATTACTAACAAATGTTTGAGTCTTTCACATAAATCTAGTCTTTTCTAAAATATGAATAATCCAGTGACAGAATGAAATGTATTTGTACTTGTGCAGTTCTTTCTCTGCATGCTATAGTTATTGATGAACAGGCTGTTGGCAGTGTTACATTGGAATGTGAACCCCAATAAGAAATTGAATGGATGTTGCTTTGCAGGAGAGATGACAGGAGGCCTTTGCCCCCAGTGAACCGTAAAGAAGACCGTGGGACCACAAGTTCAGACTGGCGCAGGGAGCCATCTGAAAAGCGATCTGCTGATTCATCAGGCCTGCGCCGAGGTCCTGGAGATGACCGCAGGCGAATGGATGACCGCGGTCGAGGGGAACGAAACACGGGTCCCCGAGATGATCCTTCAGCTAGAGAAAATAGACGTGAGTTACACCTAGGATGGTCTGCAGCCCTGATATTCAGGCAGAAGTGTAGTGGTGCAGCAGTGGAAATTGTTTTTTCTGGCTTTCATCTGCAGCTGTTAGATTCACATCCCACTTGTTCTGGTCAGATGCTGTAAAATAATAGGACAGTGCCTATCACTGACTTCAGTGAGCTAGTAAATTGAAATGTTAGTGTACAGTTGACAGAATAATGTTGTAGTGTCAGCAACCAGTAGTGACTTGTGCTTCCTTTTCTCTTCTTGTTCCAGCTCGTGCATCAGAGCAGCCTGCACTGGAGGATGGCGTTGATGACGGCCACTGGCAGAAAGTGAACCGTCGCTAGTGATTATTATTATATAGCTGATTGTTCATGTTGTGTGCAGTGGTGGAGGAGTCTGTAACTGCACACCTCATTTTGTTTGGGAATAAAGTTGCATGTTAATCTTTCTCCAGCCCGTGGCTATCTTCAATGCCCTTTCCTTTCGAGTCCTCTTGCTGCCACAGTCAGGCTGCATTGCTATGAGATGGTTTTGTAGAGCTCTCAGATGCACTGTACCTGCAGCAGGAGCAAGGATTTGTTCAAGTGTCACAAAATAACTTGGCCCAAGTCATAACAAAGACTTGGGAGTTGCCCACTTCAAATCCCATTTGAGACACTTGAGTTTTGCAGTGTTTTCCGTAGTCCGTAGTACAGCCTGGGCAGTGACAGTGAAATCATAAGTCAGATGCATGCAGTTTACAGATATAAAGTTCACATTATTTTCTGGGGTCACCTTGTTGAACGTTTCTGAGGTGAAGTGTCAGAAATGGTATGGTAACATATTTCCTTGGTTTGAACACACGTCCCACATTTTAAAATTTGTGATATTTGTTCTTGGTTTTACAGTATTGTTATTGCAAACATTTCAAATTTGCAACTAAAAACCAAATGCTTCAAGGGTATTCAAGTGACTGTAGTTCCGTCATTGTGGCATGGGGGCAGCTGCATCCTCTTAAGGGCCGATGAATTCAAAATGTGTTTTCTGCCGAGAACATTTGGAGCTGCCACGTATATATAATTGCTCATCCTGATAGGAACATAATGTTAAGTTACTCTTACTCATGGTTTTGTCATTTTTTGAGGAGATTAAAACATTTGGCCTTATCGTGTCACTGTATGTGTGAGTGTTTAGAGGCATGTCAGCTTAGGGGGCTATTTACTGTATATAGAAATCAGGATATCCAGAACATACATTATATGGGCAGATACATAGTTATCGACATACATTCATACAGGAAACTGGCGGGTTACAGCAGTAGAAGCTAATTATATGTCTACTATTACAGCACTGTAAAATTAATTTACAATTAAAAGGAAATAAAAATGCCAAACTGTGTAGAGGTCTGTTACGGAGGACCTGAGGTTGAAATTAGGAATGCACAGGCATAGACTTTATAGCACCAGTCTGTATGGAATTGGCCTGTTATTGATTGGGCCTGCTGTCCCAAGAAACTGCATGATTTTCCTGATACACTTCAAGAGGAATCAGATGTTACCATTGACTCTCCAAGTACAAGTTAATAGTATTTCATTATAATTTTTGTTAGCAAGAAAGAGGGAACACAGCAATGAATTCTGCAGCTTGGACAGCATACATGTGGTTACATTAAAGAGGGAAGGGCTCAGTATATAACTCATAAATGCAAACAGGATTTCAGTAGATAAATCTCCAAGAAAGAAGTCACTTAGGGATTGGCAATGGTGAACCTTCAGAGCACTGGTTAGATTCATATCCCTACTCTACAGTGTGTCCTGTATTTTGGAACAAGATATCTGGCAAGCCAATTCGAGATGATAGAATGTGTTTAGAAGATGACTTACCATTCATTACACATTATATATCACTTGCATGTCAAAGCTGAAACTTTGCCAAATTGAACATATACGAGGGGGTACCCAAAAGAAACCGAACTTATTTTTTTTTAAACTTATTTATTCAAATTTTAAGCACAAACCTTCAATCCCCGTCAAAGTACTCTCCACTTACACTAATACACCTGTCTAGTCTTTTATTCCATTTTTCAAAACATTGTCTAAATTCATCTTTTGAGATGCTTGACAGCGCCTCCGTCATTTTTTCTTTCATGTCTCTTTTCATTTGAGGAAACAAAAAAAAAAGTCGCATGGGGCAAGGTCGGGTGAGTATGGAGGGTGAGGAACAGGGGTCATACCATTTTTGGTCAAGAATTGTCATACAGACAGGGCTGTGTGAGCAGGGGCATTGTCATGATGGAAAAACCAGTCACCCGACTGCCACAAATCTGGCCGCTGAGCTCCAAGTCACTCCCGACAGCTCCAAAATTTCTTCAATGGTCCATCGTCGATCTTCTTTGATGATTTCACGAATTTTTTCAACATTTTCATGTGTTCGGGCTGTGGAAGGACGACCAGAAAGAGGTTTGTCATCAATTGACATTTCACCATTTTTGAAACGGGAAAACCACTCAAACACTTGAATTTTCCCCATAGCATCATTCTTGTACGCCGTTTTTAACATTTCAAGAGTTTCTGTTCCACTTTTCCCGAGCAAAAAGCAGAATTTCACCGCCACATGCTGTTCACAAAAATCAGCCATTGCAAAAACGACGATCACACAAAACAGTTGTCACTATAAACTCTGCTGAAACTAGTCCTTACCTTCTGAAGCAACGGTAATCGGCTTGTCGACTCAGGAATGTTAGCTCTATGCGCTCATAGTGGCAAAATGCGGTACTACAAAAGCTCTGCCCACAAAAAAATTAGTTCGGTTTCTTTTCGGTACCCCATCATATTTCATGATGACATTTGTTCCACTACATATGCAGTGGACATACTGCCATAACTTTGTCACCAGTCTTACTGTGACAATGAAATACATCACACAAAGGTGAAGTGACTAAAATAATGTAATTTTCTCAACTTACATCTTAGTTCAAATAAACATTACTGAAAGTACAAAAGGTAACTAATGTAATCTGTGTTGAGAGTTGTACAGCAATGCTACTAAGAAGCAGGTGACCATGGCCCAACTTCTTTGTACAATGAACAAAACAGTGAAGCCCTGTGTTGCAGTGCCACTCAGTTGATCACCAGAGTCATTAAAGCATTATTAAAACCTGCAGACCATCTAGAAGCTCACTTGCATCTTGCCCATTTTATTTGTTCATATTTTTTTTAATACCTTTAAAATTGATATTTCAGTGAGGTTCTGATTTTACATGTTGCTCAAACTGTTCTCTGGATAACATTTTGTAACCTAAAGTGTAAAAGCAAATGATTGAGTCTGAATGTCAATAAGCAGTGAAGTGCTTATACATCTCTGTCCCTGTGAAGTCATGTTCAGAGTGAGGCCACAGGCCTCGGTTGCAGACCATTGGGAGTTCCAGAAGTACATGTAGCACTCTCTATCAACAATACTTGAAGATTGGTAGAAAAGTTATTGGTCCACAGAATGTCTTACCTTTGTCTTCTTGCAGTCTAGTCAGCCTTACAAAACAACTGCCGTAATGTCTTAAAAGTAAAGAAGGAACCAGTAGTTTCATGAAATGTTCTGTCTTTTGGAGTACAGTGCTATGTATTCAGTTTAAAATCAATTGATGACTGTCACCATCTGCAGGGTCAAAGAATAAAAGAAATGAAACTAGCATGAAGCAGATGTCTGCTGCTAAGTGCTTCGTGCTGGTTTCATGCTTGGATTATTCTTCAGCCCTCAAGATGGAGGTAACATATTCCTCCAAAACATCAGTTGATTTTCAACAGGATACACAGCATTATATCCCAGAAAATAGAACTCTTCATAACTGCAGCTGTGAGGGCCTTGGATGCTGCAGTTGTTTGTAAGAACTACTGAAATTGCATGCTTTGGCAAGTGCTTAAGGGATACATTAAATTTATAAAGGTTTTCTTTGAATGAAATACAGGATTCTAGAAGCAAAGTGTCTTCTCATCCAACTGAGTTCACTTTGTTCGGTTCCTGAGATAGTATGCCAAGGAAACCTCAGATATTATGTAAGGCATTAAATATTGTTTCAATCATAATCCCCCCAAAATATGTTGTAAATTCTTAAACTTAAAGCATGATTAACAAAATCAAGTAGGAGTTAATTGAAACTAGGAAAGACTACATTTCACTTTTTGTCACCATTGAGATAATGGAGCATATGTACAGCATGACTCTGTTCTTCTGTCTGGACAGAGCAGTTGAAATCAGCACCAGCCATCCCTGTTGCACTGTTTCACTTTTTAGAACACTAAATCAGACTTTGTTTTGATAGACCACCAAAGGACAGTGTGGCTAAACTTAACAATATTATGTTATGGCAGACTTGAGCCTGCTCCATACAATGTTGAGTGCTTTCAGTGGCTGTACTTTAAGTACAAGGCAACTTGAATGAACCAAGTCTTAACATTCATTATAACAAGAAAAGTGTTTGGAAGGAATACCCAACTGAAATTGTATGGTAAATTATAAATTAGTCCTATGCAAACATTGTACTGAAAGTCTCTTAATTCGTTGGTATCGCAAGATATGTATATCTTCAGTTCTTCCTACTAATACAACATGATGGCACCATTGGACTTCTCTTCTATCATAGGCTGTGGGGTTTTCTTCTCACGAGCCTCACGAGTGCCAATGTAGATGGCAGTAATGTTGAGGAAGTGCAGGATGACTGCCCCAACCACAAACCTGTGGATATTGGTACATATTTATATTGTGAGAGGCTGTTTTATCTGTCACCAGTTTTGAACATAAATTATCTTAATCAATACAGAGTGTGTTCTTCACAATTTGGCATCCATGATGTTCATGCAGTTTGGATGCAAATCTGTTCCTGACAAAATGAACACAGAGGCATAAGTTTCTGATGCCTTAGAACAAGTTCTGTAAAGAACAAGGTAAGCCTATGTTGTTCACAGTAAAAGTTGTGGTTGGTCTTGCAGAGAGTGTTTGCATTCTGTGGAATGGTCTTCTCCAGTGTCATGTAAGTGGATACTATTCTGAACTGATTAAAAGAATGTAAAGTTGTCTCTGTGCTTAACTAATTATGCACTACGCCATGAAGGCATATCGGGGAGTGGATGTATAGATCCACATTTTCTTGACCTCGGCACTAGCTGGAGGTGAGTGGCCATCTTCACTCCCCAGCCGCTTTACCCCAAGGGAAAAAACCCCTGGTACCCAGTGGAGAAGAGAAATTTGTTTACCCTACTGGGACTCAAACTCCAACCCCTTGGTCATCCAGCCCATAGCTGGTCACTATCCTGACTGGACTGATATAGACCAAAATTAGAATTATCTGCCTACTTTTAGTGGAGACCCTCAGTGACAAATCTCATCAGATTCATTTCATGGTTTCAGATCCAAAGCTGAGACGGACTCTCCCACCTCAGCTTGTGTTAATTTTAGGTGTGACATGACATGTGATGGCTAGACTATAAGCATTCAGATCTCTCCCTTCACAATGAGGGTGTAGTTGGTTGAGGCACTACACTACAAGCTGGAAGGTCGTGAGTTCAATTCCTGATGAGGTAATCAGATTTTTCAGTTGATCTAATCCTTCCAGCCCTGCCATGGCCCTGGGGGTCAACTCGGCTTCCAACAGAAATGAATACCAGGAATCTTTCTGAAGGTAAAGGGTGGCCGGCACACAAGGCTGATAAAATCTCAGGCATCTGTGAGTCAACTGTCTAGAAAATGTGGGAGTAGAACCCTATGGGCCTGTTACAGGAATAGCTTTACTTCTTAGCTTCGCCCTTCATCAATTGTATGCAAGCAAAAGCAACCAATTCATTTAGAACTGAGGTCAGAACTCTTAACTTTACAGTAAGATGGACGGTATAAATAATGGTTTAGCTGTTTGCACTAAACTCGCCTATCTACCCACACATCGGCAACTCACCAGAAAGAATAGCCATAGTGTGCCATGTTGGCAGAGCTCCACTGATTGTCACGGTCCTCTCTACTCATAACATTGTACTGTAGCTTCCGATGGAACTGCACTGCCCAGAGACCAACCGCACACAGGTTCAACAACACTACAAACAAAACATTCTTGAGAAACATTACCCAGCAAAAGAATAGAACAGGGTGTTCTGCCCCACAGTCAGTCTTATGTGAGCCTTACAGAATTCATATGGTGTGGTATGGGATGCCCCAGCATTCTAATAATACACAGTATGTATCACTATCTTAACTACCACTTATCAAAACTGGTCACTTGAACTGTATCATCTCAACCTCTATTACAACCATCACAACACAACAAATATCAAGATCACTGCCTAGTTTCAACTCTGCTACATGTTTTGGCTATTAACTCTTTGACTGGCGCGGGCATGTTTTAACGCCCGGACGATGCCAGCCGTTCCCTGGCGTTGGCGTGTTTTAACGCTTTGACAATCTCTTCCCTTCTTTGATCTCTTGGCACTCATCAACCAAAGACATATATATGATAGTTTTTGTGCATGTTTGTAAAGAACCCTTGTAAACTTTGTGGGGGTCTATATTACTGTCAGAACCCTCTGAGAAGGAAAAGGTCAGAAAATAT